TCAGTCAGACATACCCTTCCGAGATTCGAACCTGGGCTGTCTGCATGTTAAGCAGAAGCATTAGTCCTCTATGCCACAGGCTCTTTCTCACTTTGTTAGCTACAAGAGACAGGGGAAGAGAATGAGTGCTTTTTGAACACCCTGTCAGCCTAAATATGGGAGAGAGAGAAGTCTTTTGCCTGCATCAGCTCAATCCAAACAAAATAACTAACTTGTCAAATGTAGAAAAATAAGTAAGAAAGTATCTATAAAGCATTTCAAATATAGAATTGATTTAAACATATACAGAGTAGAAAGGAAAACAAATTCTTACATGGGCAGAAGCATATGGTAACAGCTGTATTTTGTCCCGGATAGAGAATTCCAGTATGTAAACTAAATTTGAAGATACCATCATCTACGGCTTTGCCTGCTCCATCAAGATCAAATCGCCAAGTAAGCTGTTTCTTTGAGATGTTTTTCAAATACAGTTTCTGCAGAAAGACATGAGGTAAGCCACATGATATAAGATGGGCTACTTTATGAATAATTAATGACACCAAAAAGACCTACCATCAAAAGATTTATGTATGTCCTCCAAATTTCAGGCATATTTTTTCCAAATTATGAGTGTCATTGAAAAATACCAGAGTTATAATATTGTGCAAAATAGTAGTGGGGTGTTCGGATTGCTAATTAAAATGAGCGATGTAAAAGTGACATATGCAAAAGATGTGTCTGCATGAATTTTGAGCTGTACGAACAAATTACTCATTTGATACGCATGTAATAAATAGAAAAAAATGCTATGCTCAGAATCAAGGTTTTAGAAATCCAAACAAAAGATATTTCAGACTCATTTCTGATACAAAAGATACTTCAACTTTACTGAAGGAGCACTGATCAGGTCACTTTTGAAGCAATAATGCCCAAAGAGAAGGCTTTTCCTATCTCTATGGCAGTTGTGAGAATTGAACTGTTTCATTCTACTGTTGGATTTCCTCCAAGATGGCATGCTGAGTGAAGGGCAATGTTTCCCCTGTCGATAAACAGTTGATTTTGCCACCAAAGTGGGTTCCTAGATCTGAATGGGCAGCTAAAAACGGCCCAAGATTTTGATGATGACAATGGCAACAACAACAACAACAACAATAATAATAATAATAATAATGGAATTGGAGGGGAACTTGGAAGTCTTCTAGTCCAACCCCCTGCTCAGGCAGCAAGCCCTACACCATTTCAGACAAATGGTTGCCCAGTCTCTTCTTAAAAACTTCCAGTGTTGGAGCATTCACAACTTCTGGAGGCCATTTGTTCCACTGATTAATTGTTCTAACTGTCAGGAAATTTCTTCTTAGTTCTATTTTGGGTGTCTCCTTGATTAGTTTCTATCCATTGCTTCTTGTCCTGCCTTCAGGTGCTTTGGAGAAAAGCTTGACTCCCTCTTCTTTGTGACAACCCGAGATATTGGAACACTACTATCATGTCATCCCTAGTCCTTCTCTTCATATATATATATATATTACTTTGTTACAATATATCTTACTCCTGTCTTTGAAAGGAACCGTTTATGTCTATTTATGAATGCCCAGTTACAGGACTGTATTAAAAATGCAAACAATGTACCAACTTAAAGATAAAGCCCTCTGGGAAGCCTTTAGGGGAAAAATTACTCTTTAACCTGTAAGTTTAAACTGAAGACTTTGGTAAAAAGTTTGATAACGTAACAATGGTTTTAAATCTATCTAAAGAGGATATTCAGACACAATCAACTATAGCCAAACCAAGCTCACAAGTGGATAGATTGGAATCTAAACTGCTGTTGGCAGATTTAAAGGAGAAGCAGCTTGGTTTGGAAACTGTAGGTTTGTTGGAGAAGGCTGAAGGGGATATGGCTTCTACAGATTCTACAGACACTTGATTTCCTTATTGATAGATCCCAGGTTGTGTGAGTTGAAAAGAAAGTTACCAATTCCATCTCCTTGAGTATAGGTTCTCCACATGGCTGTGTCCTGAGTCTGCTACTGTTCACCTTGATGACCCACGACTGCGGTGCCAAATCTGCTACAAAACATATTGTGAAGTATGCAGACACGGCAGTGGTGGGTCTTATCTGGGATGAAAATGAAGATGCTTATAGGGAAGAGGTGAATATAAAAGTAACCTGGTTCTAAATGTTGATAAAACAAAGGAGATCATTGTAGATTTTAGAAAGAGCCGGCATAGTCATACTCCACTCAGTATCAAGAATGCAGCTATAGAGGTGGTCAACAGTATTAAGTATCTGGGAGTGCAGATAACTAACAATATGAATTGGTCTCTCCACACGTCATCCTTAGTGAAGCATGCAAACCAGCGTCTGCATTTCCTGCGTCGGATGAGGAGAGCACATCTTTCTCCTTCTGTCCTGGCCACTTTTTACAAAGGCGCAATTGAAAGCATTTTAACAAACTGCATCACTGTCTGGTGTGGTGGCAGCAGATAGAAAGTCCATACAGAGAATGGTAAGGACAGCCGAGATCATAGGAAGCTCGTTTCCTGGTATTCAGGATGCTGCTTATAAGGCCGTACTCAGCGTGTGGTCCTCAATGGAACCACATCTACATGGAGGGAAGTGTGTAGTGGGGTGCCCCAGGACTCTGTTTTGGGCCCAGTGCTCGTCAACATCTTCATCAACGATTTGGACGAGGGGATAGATGGGGAAATCATCAAATTTGCAGACAACACCAAGCTGGCAGGAATAGCCAACACTCCAGAAGACAGGCTTAGGATACAGGAGGATCTGGACAGACTTGAACACTGGGCGCTATCTAACAAAATGAAATTCAATGGTGAAAAAGTAAGGTTCTACATTTAGGCAAGAAAAAACAATTGTACAGGTATAGTATAGGGGGTACCTTGCTCAATAGTAGTAACTGTGAGAGGGACCTCGGAGTCCTAGTGGACAATCACTTAAATATGAGCCACCAGTGTGCTGCAGCTGCCAAAAAGGCCAACACAGTGCTAGGCTGCACTAACAGAGGGATAGAATCAAGATCACGTGAAGTATTAATACCACTTTACAATGCCTTGGTAAGGCCACACCTGGAATACTGCATCCAGTTTTGGTCACCACGATGTAAAAAAGATGTTGAGACTCTAAAAAGAGTACAGAGAAGAGCAACAAAGATGATTAGGTCTCTTCAGCCTTCTCCAACAAACCTACAGGCTAAAACATATAAGGAACAGTTGCTGGAATTGGGTATGTCTAGTTTAACGCAAAGAAGGATGAGGGGGGACATGATAGCAGTGTTCCAATATCTCAGGGGCTGCCACAAAGAAGAGGGAGTCAAGCTATTCTCCAAGGTGCCTGAAGGCAGGACGAGAAGCAATGGATGGAAACTGATCAAGGAGAGAAGCAACTTAGAACTAAGGAGAAACTTCCTGACAGTTAGAACAATTAACCAATGGAACAACCTGCCTCCAGCTCAAAGAAGTGGTGAATGCTCCAACACTGGAAGTTTTTAAGAAGAGACTGGACAGCCATTTGTCTGAAATGGTATAGGGTTTCCTGTCTGAGCATGGGGTTGGACTAGATGACTTCCAAGGTCCCTTCCAACTTTTATTTTTATTATTATTATTATTATTATTATTATTAGTAGTAGTAGTAGTAGTAGTAGTAGTAGTAGTAGTAGTAGTAGTGAGCTCAAAGCTATGTTAGAGACCACACATACGCACTTCATGGTCTGTTTTTGTTGCTCCCCTCTGGGAGGAGGTTTTGAAATATTTCTAGCAGGGCTATCTGATTCTGTAATAGCTTTGTTCCCTATGCCATCTGTCTGGTAAAATCTCAAGATTCGTTTTTCTCACCATGCACATACATAACCCGAACTAAACTATTGTTTCTCTGTGTCTTATAATATGTGTGGGTATACGCATAATTCTGTATTTATTTATTTTTGTCATATTTATGTAGGAGGTAGTGACCCTTTGAGAGCTGTAGCAAATTTCATTTTAATGTATGCCAATTAGTGTACATTCAAAGTGACAATAAAGTTATTGTTCTATTCTAGAATTGGAGTTAACAGAATCGAGTGATCAACTGGACTTTCTAAAGAAGAATGATGGTAATTGGGGAATGGACTTACTNTGGACTTACTATATCTAACTGGAAAATAATTTCAATTGGACTTTTTTGAGAAAATGGATCGACAACAGAGGTTTATGATTTAGGGAGAAAAGATACAATTGTTGGGAAAGTTCTCAACCAAAATCTTAAGGAAAATTTTTGTTATTAAAAATCAAAGAAGGATCTTTGATCCCAAACAGATCAGAGACAATGATTGCAGTGATTTATGATAGATAAGAAGCTGTTGTAGACTTTCTACAAGTTAAATACAATAATAGATTGTTAACAGATGGCTCTGAATTTTAACTTTGCCATTTGTTCCCATTAACTACTTTGCCTGTTTTTTACTTTTCTCTTTTTTAATGTACATTTTTTCTTTCCTATCTAATATTTTGTTCATCCTTGTTTGTTTTTATAACATTTCTTTCTCTCTCTTTCTCTGTCTTTTTTGAGTTTTTATTTTACCTTAATTTTCTGAATAAAATAAAATTTTATTCAAGGGGGGAAAAAACAGATGTAAATGCAATAAATATACATTTTTCCTGGAAAAAATGACCACTATTCAGCATTAATTTGAAATAATTCTAAACTGTGCTTAATAGGAAAAAAGAGAAAAAAGGGTAATAAAACTTTTCTCCTATCTTTGGCCACATCAGAGGACTGAATCTAAGGCATGACTTAAGGCTTATAAATTTGATTAGTAACTTAGCCTTAGGTTTCAGTGAGGTCTTTCAGTTTAAATTTTAATCTGCAAGTAGATTAATCCTGTACTCTATATTCTGTAACATATATTTAATTTATTTTAGATATAAAGAAGCACTATAATTTTTAGTGTATATATATATCTGTGTATGATTGTGTGTGGTATGTTTTTATTCTGCCATCATACAGGAAATCAAAAGCAGACATAGAATCTAAAAGAAAATATACAGAAATAGTGTGAGCAAAAATTACCAGCATTTGAATTACTAATTCTTGTTTGAAAACACTACATAAACAGAACTTCAGAACAACAGTGTGGCACAATTAGAAGTATCCACACTTCCCTATAATATGTACCAACCTTTATATTACTGCTGTCACTTATAACACCCATGTTGATACATTTTACACTATGTTGAAAGGTGAGCTCTAAAGGATAAATATTCAGTGGCGGCTGTAACACTGTAGAAACAAACAAACATAGACAACTATTTTAACTTCAAGATTTATTAAACTACACATGGATTAAATCTGGATGAAATCAGTAATTTTGACTAGAATTGGAAAATCTTCAAATCAAACAAGACTCAATAAAGAATCCAGATTTCAAAAGTTTGGCTGATTTGAAATGGCAAGAAATACACTCAGTACATGAACAAAACTGAATATATCTTTCCTCAGCTTACTATATAGAGAAAACTTCAGGGTACCCTGATGGGGAGATAAAATTGAAGCTCTATCCAGACCTGTATAGGTTTGCCAAATTAAGTTAGCACTCAAGATAGAAAATTCTCGTAACATTATCTCATAACATTACAAATAGGGCTCTGGTCTGGAATTGCGGCTGAGTACAGCAAAATTAACATGAAAACGTATGCAATAATTTAAATTAGGTATTCTTGATGAAAGGTCTTTGAAGAGATTTTAGGAGGATGGATGGGAAAAAATTAAAACTTTATTTTCAACAACTTATAATTGAAATTTAGCTTTTCATTCAATAATGTATGTAGGCAAGAAAGTAATTTATGACATCTAGATTCCAAAATTATTTGCTAACTTGTAAATCTCAATATCTAAAATTATTATGCCCAACAAAGGGTATTCTTTTGTTATTGATTTATGGATTAATAATCATATATATTACTGTACTATCCTGTTATGTATTTTTAATAAAACTATGTTTGAGTACAATTGGTTTCCCTTGTAATACAATCTATACCTATGTATTTTATTTTATGCATTTAAATACATATTTCTAAGAAAGTTCTTAGATTCTCAAAATCATAAAAAGATTAAATAAATCTCAATTTAAAGCATCCATATCTATTTTTGTTGTAAAGAACAACTCACAAATTCTCCAAAAAGCAGGTTGTTAAATTTGGAACTCATACTCCTGATAATGTCACTGTGACCATTCAGACTTTGAGGCCCAAATATTTTTGGTACAGGCTAAAATGTTTGATTACTCTGTTATAGTACATTGATTTGCTCTAAAAGTGAAACTACAAAATCTTGTGGATCTTGGGAGCAGGTAGGGGAGGCAATGGATGGATCAGGAAAATGGTCAATGCCTCATTGTGGAAAAGGATGGTGCTCTCTGACCTGAAAGAGGCAATGGTACACTCCATCATGAAGAAGACATCTCTGGATTTAGACATGCTAGACAACTAACATCCAGTGTCCAATCACTTGCAAACCACCCTATAGAATGCAGTTTATCTGGATTTTTTTCATCCAGAATTCAGGCCTAGGCATGAAACAGAAACCATACTGGTTATAGTGTTGGGTGAGATCCTGTGTGAGAATATGGATGCATACCTCTTTATCTTTTTAGATCTCTCAGCAATGTTTGATTTCATTGTATCTCTACAGGGCACTACAGAGTGTGAGAGTGATTCTGCTCCTTCCTAAGTATTCCTTTCTCTTCTAATATTCAGGATGGTTTTTTAAGTGCATCTTTTTTTGTAATATATTTTATTGCTTTTTTTTAATTTTTAAGATACATCTTTGAGGACTGAGGTAAGAATGGAAGTTGTATGTGCATTGGGATAAAACTGTCTGCTTTGGTATTAAAAGGTGCATTGTTTTTAGAAAAATAATAGCATTATGTTGAATTTATATTTAGTTGTATTTATTATTACCATTATTGATACATTTGATCATTTTGCTAATGTTTTATGTATATATTGAATGCTTTGCATTAAGTTGCATAGAGTCTCATGTCTAAAGCAGCATAGAAGCATGAAAAATAAATAAATATATAAAAAAGGAATGAATACTCATTCTGACTTACAAAGCTCAACAAAATTTGGTACTCTAGTAGCTACAGGACAGTTGATTTCAAAGAGGTCTTATCTGTCTAATGTATTTATCCTAAATAAATATACTAATAGTTCCTCTCCCATCATAAATTCAGGAGACAGAAAGGAATGACTGCTTTGGGGTAACAATGGACACCCTCTAGACCAAGGGCGTCAAACTTGCAATGTCACGTGATGTGTCGCGACATATCGTGACTTTTTTTCCATTGCCAGCAATGGGGTGGTCGCAGTTTCACCACAACACATCCGGCCCATGGGCCGGCAGTTTGACACCCCTGCTCTAGACCATCCTCCCACTGCAGACCAGGAGGACATCTTCATTTGTGACCTTCAGGACGACTGGAAAAACAGGGTGTTGTGGGGGGGATAATTGGTCACAGCATGTCTATATCATTATCAGCTTTATTGTATTATGGAAGATGTGATCTTCAAAACTACTATTTAGGGTATGTTACTTGGTTTATTGATTTATTATGTCATTTTATTATACTGTACAGAATCATAGGTCCTTGTGAAATGTAGCAGCATATGATATAGAAAATAAAAAGATCTGAGTAGATATCTCAATAATACTTCTGCTAGAGTGATAAAGGTGGAACCACTACAAGGTATTCCTTCTCTAAGCTCCTTGAAATTATTGTATAACATAGTCAATGATCACTTAAAAGACCCATAAATATCAACTGGGTCACACTTCTCTTGTTTTTGTCTCTCAGTTCAGATCATTCATCTGGTAATCAAGAACATCTCAAGTCTGAATCCACACAGAAAGTATCTAGATAATACAGAAATTTTCACTCAGGCCCTGGTTATCTCCTGTCTGAACTACTGCAATGAGCTTCATATGGGACTGCCCTTGAAAAGTATTGAGAAACTTAAGCTAGTGCAGAATGCAGCCACAGGAACAATTCTAGATGCCCCCAAAAGGGTGCATGTAACACTTTTGCTCTGAAAACTACATTGGATAGCTTGATTCAGGGTCCAATTCAAGATATTGGTTGTGATCTATAAAGCCCTACATGGTATGTGCTCAGGCTACCTTTGGAAACATCTTCATCTCACTACATTGGCCCATTCCACCTTCCTTCCAGGCAAGGAAGATATGTTGCAGATACCATCAGCTAAAGAATTTTGACAGGTGGGGTTTAGAAAGACAGCCTTCTTTGCTGTCACCCTCGACCCTGTGGAATATTCTCCCCCTGGAGGTAAGGCACACACCACAAGGCTCTGTGGCTTCATCTGGGAAGCCAAGAGGAGTACACAGGTTGGATTGCACCCTGGGAGCCCTCTCTTCACCTTTTTAACTAATTTTTAACAAGGTGCAATCATCCTTGCCTCCTTTTAAATTCTATTTTTTATTTTTATTTTTTAAATTCTTATACATTATTTTTATATTTTATTGTACACCACCCAGAGCTCCTCTCTGAGGGGGATGGGCAATTCAAAAATGTGAATAAATAAATTCTTAAAAAAATATCTTAATTTAGATTTGTCCATTTTATCACATTTTATCACATTTAAAATTTATTAAAGGATGTTCTGTATATACACATCCAGGGCTTTTTTTGTCATAGAACGCCCAGAACGGAGTTCCGGCACCTTTTTTGGATGGAACCTTGTAGGATAGGCAAGGCGGGTTGTATAATGTGTGTGAGTTCCGGCACCTTTTTTTTTTTTTTAACAAAAAAAGCACTGTACATATCTGTATTTACCTCTGAGGCTTACATACCAGTTGCTTGCACTTTGCATTCTTGAGTAGGTATAGTCAATGATTGAGGTCGAGGAACAACCATATGCTTTGCTGAACTAGCAGAATTTAACTTTTTTGAAGTATTTGTGGAACACTGAGCTTCATCAGCATTAATTTTTATTGGAAGAATAAAGTCATAGGCTGCCACCTAGAGGATGAATATAAATTTATAATTTTCTTATTGCTAACAATACAAATGTTTGAATACCAGAAACCAGCAAAGTTTGTATTCAGGCAGTAGTCAATTCATATTCCCAAAATACTAAGAAAGAAAAGTCATTCCACAAAGAAATGAAATTAAGATTAAAAAGATTGTAAATGGAAATATAGTTCTAAAAATTAGAAAAAAACCTATTGTTTGGTGAAAAACTAAATTTGTGGCCTTTATTCCGCCAAATATACAAAGAATTTCTTGCAACTTGACCTATATAGATAAATTTTAAGAGGAAGTACTATGAAAATTATCTCAAAAGCAAGTAAATAGTATAAAAGATTATGTGCTCCATGAATTATCATTCCATGCAATGAAAGAAGTTAAAGTTAATAGCACTTTAAATAGAACTTGGAAGTTTATCAGCAGGTATTGCAAAAGAACTAGATCCACTGGGACTGCTGCGTTCTGCCCAAAGTTTTCAAACAATATTTGAGGATAGCCCTCAGAACGTATGTTGCACTTTACCATTGTTGCATTTCTAGAAGTTTAGGCTTTATTCTTTTTAAAAAGTTAATTTTCTAAAGTTTTATTCTTTTGAATCTGAAATAATGGTTCAAGATTGAATCTCAGTAGAGGAAAGAAGACAATCCATCAAATGCAACTGAAATGCCACATTCCTAACCTCTGCTTTTTTAACAGTAGCATCTGATTGAGTATATTGGAAATATAAAACTGCTCTTATATTAAAGAACGACAAACTATCTGCATTCAGTTTCAATTTGTTCATTGTCTTCTACCTATCCCTGCTTCCAGAAGCAAGTTACAAATAGTAATAGCAGGGCCAGTAGAGTTAAAGAAGTATAGGTTAAATATCAGTGGTATTGTGGTGTTATGTTGTACTAATTATTTGTTCTGTATTGTATTTATTCGTACACTGGTGATACCAAACCTATAACTTCAGACAATTTATCTTTATATAGATGAATATACATCCTAATATAGCAGATATAACATTTTGAACACGGTTGAACATGGAGTTCCAGGGATAATTTTCTTAGAACTGTTTTCTACAAAAAACAAAGTGGAGTGAAACCAGTTCAAAATAATAGTAGAACTGAGATAATGAAACAAGAAATCTGGCTTAGCAAAATATCAAAAGCTACTGTATAGAAAAACATTCTATTTATCCTCAGGGATAATTTGCCATAAAAATTAAAACAGACTCAGTTGACATATATAATCAAATTTAAAAGGAGAAAAAGTAGATGCGTCACACATAAAAATATTTTATCAGCAAAAAATAGAAAAAAACTAAACAGTGCCCTATTACTGCAGACTCACCAATAAAAGAAATGTAATTTTTCTTTTTAAAAAGCAGCCCTCTCTCACTCTCTCTCCCCAATGATTCATTAATTACCAGAATTACTTGTATCAATTATAACAAATGTCCAGATGGCCTATAGTAGGTTTGAAGTACAATAGTGATAGGAAGGAAATCAAAACCATTTGCTGGGATAATTATGAATGAGCATCCAATCATCTTTTAAGTGTCTAAGATTATAATGACTTGAAAGTTCAAGTTATATTAAAATCAAATTATATAAATAATAGAATCTAAACAAATCTCTATTGGAGAATCTTTACCTAAAGCAAAAAAGGATAAAAAAATAACACTTAGAAAATGGAATGTAATTTTGATGTGCAGCTGTTTTAGTTAAATGTGCTTCTGCTAAGAGTGAAGAACTAAATATCAGTGCAGATTTAAATAATGCCATTAAGAAAATAAGAGCTGCATGCCACCTTTTCTTTTTCTTTAATGGGATGATCTGTCTTCAGCAGACAGTTTAAATAATGATATATTATAACTATACTTGCATTTCTAGTTAAAAATTACAGATTGCACTTCGGCTGTAAATAAACCCTTCCTTAAAACAAAATTGTTAAGCCTTTGTATTCAGGAGTGAACATAGGTGTCAGGCTTCATCAAGTCCAATCCTGGAAGTAGATGATTCACAAGCAGGACAGATGCAAAGATATAACTCTCAATCAAATCATTTTTTTAAGATACCAGATGTCAAAAAAGCAGATTCAAAGCCCTTCATTTCAGATCTTGCTCAATGTAACCTTCACACAAGAACCATGAGAGTTATTAGTCATCACCATCCCACCACTAGCCACTTTCTTTCTAAGATTAACTATATACCATCACCCCCTGATTGAATGCCCAACCAGAAGAACAATAGGTCAAGAGGCTATGAAGGACTGCATTATTCTAGCCAGCTAGCAATTAACTGATTAATGTAACAAATAATAATTCTCAGATTTGCTTATTTTACTCATGATGAAAGTTGGTGCTTCAGATCTCCACCACCATAACCAAAATTCATCTTCCTGAGGATCATTAGAATGAGGCATTGAGAAAAATGATGGCAGCAGGGAGGGAGGTGAAGTGACCTCACACCTCAAGTTATCCATCCACTTCAGCTTTTATCAATACCTTGAGAACTGTTACTACTGGCAAAATAAAATCAGATAGATTAGAGTTATTTCTATCATCCTAGAAAAATCAGCTCTCATTTAGGAATATCCATCAAAAAGTGAGAAAAGAGGGGAGAGGAAACAAGACAATCTTCCTTAAAAATGAACAATGACTGAGAAAATTCATAGGTGATTGCCCTAAAAGGCTGTTATAATTGATTCTAACTAAAAAAAATGGCAAGAGTACAATGTATTTTCTAAGAAACAATAATTCCACTATTCTGAGACTTCTGGTCTTGCATTGTAGCTCCGCAGCTGATGGATTGTGGGGCTCTGCACCCCACGGCTAGTTTTGCCCTGCCAGGGGACCCTAAATGGGTTGAAGGTTGCCCTGGAGAGGCAACGAAGGAGAGGTTCCCCGCTGATTGCAGAATGATGGCGGTTGGTCCATTTGATCCGGGGGAAGTCCTCCAACCCGGCAGGAGAAAGGCTAGCCACGCCTTGCTGATTAGCCCAAGCTACCGACAGCCGAAGTCCAAAAGTGCTAACCAGAACAACTGTGAACAACATACTTGGAATTGGATGAGAATATCGATCTTCTCTTTCCTATTTCGTAACTGATTTCCTGGAAAAGATCCCCAAGAAGCAAAAAATCTTCTGAAAGTGAGGAGGGGACTACACCCCTACCCTTCCATAGACAGAAACGGTGAATTAATGTTTATGGGGGACAGAAATATATTGAAATGAAGTTAATAATACTACAGTCTGGATAAATCTGAAAATTATGAAAACTGTTAAAGATTCCGTATCTGAGAGAGTATTGATGAAATTATAAGAAAATAATTCTCTGTCTTAAAAGTTGGAAAATGAATAGCTACTGACATCTAGTGGAGGATTAGAACATAAAACTACAGCTGCATTGACTCAGAAATTGGCAAGACACCCAGAAATAGAGAAAACTTGTTATTTTGAACCTCAGAGACTTTTAGCCAAATAAAGAACAGCTGGGAACAGAGGAAAGAAAATATACAGGGCCATCTACTACAGAGTGAGAACCACATTTGTTTTAAAAACTGTTGACCTTCTGGGATTATAAATACTTACTAAACTGTGATTTTTAAGCTCAATAATTGTTTGCAGAGAAAGAAAAACTTCGACTTTTGGCTAATCTTCTAGGGGGAATTTACTGGAAAACTCTTAAATGGCTAAACATTCTGGACTGCAATTTTGGCTGGTTGATAATCGTAAGACCTCTGAACAGAAGAACTGTTATAAAACACTGCTTTCAATGCTGATTTGACAATTGGAAATGCACTGGATTACAAAAACCATATATAAAGGTAAGAACTATATAAGATTTGGTTGTTTGGATTTTAAGATTGGCTGGTTTGACGAGACTAATCATAGACACTATGGTACCGGTGAAAGACTATATGGAGGGGGGAGACAAAATGGCTGTTGCATAGCTATCTAAAAGTAACAGGAAATCACACCTAATGTTCCCTTCTGAAGGCCCCAACCTGGAACATCAGAGATCTGCAGGACCAACACTCCAAGGCAAGGCAAATACTTTCCAGGAGGAAATGTATGCAATGCTGCGACAGATTCAAATGACAATTGTTACAAACTATGATGAGATTAAAAACAACTTTGATGACATAAATGAGCACATCTTCAACCTAAAGTTACAATTAAAAAACTCTCAGAAAACGACAATAAATAATGAACAAACAAATCAGATAACAGAACATAAACCAGAGGAAAGTGACCCAAATAGGGAAGCTACCAATGAAGAGAACTATAGCTTAATACAAACAAAAGAAAATCTGCAAGATTTTGCCACAACAATGAAAATGGAAAAAATATTTCATCTTTCAGGACTTCAAAACAAATTTGAGGATAAGAAAGAAGATCTAACAAAATGGATTATAGAGCTGCCAGGAGAATCATTAGAGTTTGGGAGAGAAAAAACGTATATCCTACTTAATTTGTCTTTCCCATTCCCAACAACACTCACAAAAATACATGAAGAATCCCCTGGCAAGCGGAACATACTGCTCGGAAAGCTATTTGGCAAAAGCAGAAGGCTAGAGTTAGATTCAAGAGATTTGATTCGACTTACCAGATGAAATATTATATGATTAAATACTTGTCTGAATATGGTTAAAATTTTAAAACCACATTCATCTTCTTCTATTCCTGCTTCTCTTAATATATATTCAGCATATAAATTGAATACATAAGAGAAGGCATACAGCCTTGTCTCACTCCTCTGCCAATCCGGAGCCAGGCTGTCCATAATATAGCTTCCTGATCTGTATATAATTTCTCATGAATACAATGAGATATTCTGAGATTCTCCTTTTTTTGAGCACATTCCAGCTTGATGTTACTGGTACAATCAAAGACTTTTTGATAATCATTGATGGACGTATTAACTTCTTTTTTTATTTTTTCACTTTCTCCATTATACAGCAATTAGGCCTCACATTCCTCAGCTAAAGCTAGTTTTAACATCCAGCATCTCTTTTTCCATAGAGAGTTCTAATTTGCATTGGATAATCCTAACCATTATTTTGCTAGCTTGTGAAATTAAGGATATGTATGATAGTTTGCACACTCCTTTATTACATACTGGAACGTAGACTCATCTCTTCCAATCTGTGCCCACTGTGTCATTCTCCAGATTTGCTGGCATAGTTTGGCTGGAACTGTAACCAAACCTTGACCAACCTTGTTCTTTTGGCTGCTGTATATCAATGGGTATTCCACTGATTCCTGTAGCCCTTTGATTTGGGTAATGATCAGGATGCTGATCTAACTTCATCATCTAGTACCAGAGGTTCATGTAGAAATATCTTTTACGGAATCTTAAATGTTGATATTTCTACTATATAGTATTTCAATATACTATTTCTGTCTTTGTTTGATAACTTTTAAATTGGTTATGATCTGTCCACTGGATTTCTTTAGTATGCCCAATTCAAGATTGGAACCTGAATTCAGAAATCTTTTAAAAGACTTTCCTTGTATTTCCTTGTTTGGTTCCATCTTCAATGTCTTTACAGATGTTGTGTAATATCATTAATCATTTTATATTTTCTATCCATGTGGTTTTATTGACAAAAAATATAGGTGTGGTTTACTTTCTCTTTCTCCCATACAATAATTGACAACTTTGCAACTGTCACTCCAGTATTTTTCTATACTGCTGCTGGCCAATATGGGTGCCTGTTTACTTTAGCTGAGCAGCTGGGATGATCTTTACATGGTGGGTAACTCTAGTGGGAATATATAATCTTGGCATATCCTCTCACTCATCCCTCCCAGGAGCACCCCTCCCCCTACCATACTCGTACACACACACACACACACACACTGCCATGATGAGGCAGCCTAAAAGAACTTGGGCAGGGAAGATGGGAAATAACATTTTAAAACAATATAAATAGATTAATATTCACTAAAACATAAACTTACTTCTTTTGGTGTGAAATTCAGAGAACATTCCATAATAGTATTGGCTTCTATAGTCGTACGATAAACTCGAGAGGCCTCTGATGTATTATACATATCTATCAGAAAATATAAAAATAATTTTATCAATTATTTGTACTTTCAATTTTATAATAGTATATTTCTATTCTATAGATTTAAATCCTGCTCATGGTGAACGCAAAAAGCTATAAGCAATCTGCAGGCAGCAACTATATCCAATAGTACAAACAAGAGATTGTCACAGTCTGCAGATAGCATTAGCATTCAAAGATTTAAGAAGATCTGGTTGCAGTGATCTTCCAATCACACTCATGGACCCTAGCATTGCCCACACTCCCCTTGCATCTTACTCCCAGTAAGACCCATGTAGTGAACATGGAGTGGCTTTCTTGATGAATAACTAAGAGAAGAAGATAAGCTGCCACCCATTTGGCACATGCATTAAGTAACAATTATCTGAAACTGATTAGAGACCAGACCTCAATATATGAGTATCAGTCATGTTTACAAAGTAACAGATGGACCCAGTTGAGTTCTAAAGCAAATTTAGAGTTGCTTATGAGGGTATGCTACATGATCCAACCGAAACCACAGTGGCCTCAAACACTAAAAAGTTGGTGTCTGAATCAGATTTTGTCCAAGAAGCCTTTCCTTTCTTGGGAATCCCAGAATTATCTTTCTTTTATAGGAGCTGAGAGAGATAAATTGGTTAAAGAAACAACTGGAGCAAATTTTACCTAACATGAGTTAGAGCCATTATTAGGGCTTATCCCTTGGTGATAATGGCAATCAAATGTCAATATACCTCAGCTCTTACTGTCTACATAATAACTAGCTGTCTAGCAGCCTTGTTTTAGATTACCCAAGCCCTCCTGGGAGGGGATAGTTCAGAGATTCATCTACAAGGTCATTGTAAGGAATATGCTAGAAATCTAAGGGAAGAAGTTGATCAGATTCACACTAAATTGGACTCCAGCTTAGAAGCAAATCCTGTGGAAATGACTGAGTTTGTTCCTGATAAAGTGAAGAGTTGGGGCCTGATAAACTGGACAGAGTTCTGGTGGCTATTAACTCAGCCACATCTATTTTAGCTTCCTCCCATCCCTTCCCCCCCCCCTAAACTGAACCATTCTGGATAATTTTTATCCAGTTTTCACTTTTGGAAGAAGGTGCTGGAGATGGTGGCCATAGTTTTACACAGATATATATCCTATATAGTTTTCAGGTTGATATTACTTTATTATAGGATGTAGGAACATCAAAAGAATATGTGCATCTCATTTAACACAGAAAGTTTTAATAGAATTACTAAATGGAACTCTCTGAATAAGTACATACATGTCTGTATTTAAATAGAAAATATTTAATTCATTTTAAAAGTTTAGATTTTAAGATAAATATAACAGCCTTTTCTTTAAAAAAAAAACTAAACAGATTTTTCTAGACAATTACAATTTTAAATTAAGAAATACCTGGCTGAAAATGTAGAGTAAAGTCATCATGTTCAGACAAATCTATTGTCACTTTAGCATATGACTTTCCTTTGTTCTCAATAGAAAATGGAATTTCTTGAGTAGAATTAACATAAACACCAGGGAAGATAAAAGAGCACTTTAAAGAAAACAATAAATAATCATTTGAGTGACCAAGGTAATGATAAGAAACAAAATCACAAACAATTCTGTTGAAGAAGCTGTAGAGATAGGATGTCTACATGCATATGGAGATATAACAATATTATTGTTGTGAATATGTGGCATTATTATGGGACAGCTTATGAAACAGCTACATCAATATGGAAAAACAATAAATTTGCTTTAATAATTTGAAGACAGGTGCCTCATATACGGTCCTGCATATTACAAAAACTGTTCCAAAGAATTTGCATCACCATAAAGATCATGACAAAGATGTGTAATTACCTTAAAGAATAGTTGCCATGAGCTAAGAAGGTAACAATCTTAAACATGCTCAGGACCTAATAAACATTCTAGAAACAGAATGTAAATAATTAAGTCTTTGGAGTTATCAGCTACTGCTTTTTTATTTTATGAAAGGGATGTGTTATTATTTGACAGACCAAAAATATTGATTTCTGTAATAACATTATCTCAGGTAAACATATTCGAAATTGAGGACACGCCTATACACATAGATCCTTTAGCACCACAGAGCATTTTAAATCTTATCATACCTTTCATTAAAAATGAATGGAGGCTTCCCTATGAATAAATGCATAATATTCAGTACTATAAATCTTAGAACCTAAAGGATGCACAAAATGTTACATATTTACCACACTGATATATATGTCAGGAACCTCTACAGATCCACCAATCCTAAGTTCCAAAGATTTTGCATTGCGTATTGCTACCTAAATAACAAGAGGGAAAAACAGTGATTTCCTAATTTCTCATTTTCAGTTTCATTTCTACTTTATTTACGTATTCTTTGGATTTCCTGCTAAGATTCTTCATTGTCAACTTTGTAGTATTCAATTTCCTTTCTGTGTTCAAGTCCTTGCTTCTAAAGTACAATGGTATCTCGGTATTTGACATTAATTGGTTCTGGAAGGCACAATGAATACTAAAACTACAAGTGCCAAATAAACTAAGTGACTTACTTCGTGACCCCTTGTTTTAGCCAGGAAAAACTTTCTGTCTGTCTCTTTTCCTATGTCAGTGACCTTGCCAGCATGGCCAACTTCCTGCCAACCTCTGCAGCCCTCCCCCTCTTCCTTTTGCAGCAACCTTCCCAGCCAACTTCCTGCCCACCCTCCGTGGCCGTCCCCCTCTTCCTTTTACAATGTGCCAAATACCAAAGAATCCACAAGTATCAGGACAACATTTTCTCATCAAAATGCGTCGAGTACCAAATTCGACAAGTTTTGAAGCAGTTAAATACTGAAGTACCACTGTAGTATGAGAAGTTTCAGTTGAATCTCACAAAAGCAAAAATCAACCAATATGTCTGCTGCTGCTTTATCCCTCCAGCAAACAGAATATTAATATACATTTTATGTTGTTACAAAAATTCAACTAAACATGGTTAATCACAAGTTTCACAGAATAAAACATTAAAATATGCATCTATTTTGAAAACAATATTTATTTATTATCCAAGTTAATAAAAGCTTTCGAACAATTCAAATACCTCTACTCTGCTGTCAAATTTCATTAATGCATTGGGTCTGAAATAAATTTTAATTTCAGTACGGCCTCCCACTGGAATTACACCCTGAAAAGGAGTTATAATCATTCCAGGAACTGGATTGACATCAAGGACCTGTCAATAAAAGCAAGTACAGTATTATAAAAGTCCTTTTTTCCCACTATCTTAGAAGTATTCTATCACCAAACATGCTGGAATATCCCTGGTAAAGCTAGATTATATACATCCCAATATCGATTGTGAATATACCTTACCTGGAAATACGCATGGTTATGTCCCAAATTTTGAAGAATAGCTGTTCTGCAAGTGGTTAAATGGAGAGGAGCATTATTAACGGTAATTCTTTGCTCCTTAAACTGAACACTGGTAGAGCCAAGCTAATATTGTGAAAAAAGAAAAAATGTATCAAATGTCTATTTTTCTGCAGACAAATTTTCTTTCACTTCACAATAATGTGAGTACACTACGGAAACAACATAAAATTTTGTTTTCTTTTTGAGAAATTAAAATTATAATGAAAACAGAAGCATATCTTAATTGCATTATAAATATATAAAACCATTAAACACATCCTAGCATTCTTAAAAATATGTTTAATGATTGCCAGTAAATCAATATTAAAAAATTTAATTTCTATTAATACATTTTTTACCTCTAATGCAGAACCGCCAACAGTGACAAAGCCATTGACAAATCTCTCATTTACTGGATGGTAAACTGGCAAAACCTAAACAATCCAGGTGTCAACTAACAAAAATAAAACCATAAACTTTTCTACAGCTTTTTAAAAACTTTTTGGCATTGAATTCAGCAACATTATGAACCAAATATCCTTTGAAACAATTGTGTTTTTTTCTAAAAACAATCAAGGAATATGTCTCATTCTTTTGAGATGCTATATACTGCACTATCCCTCGGACATTATGCTTCAAAAGAATGAAAAGGCAACATGAATAAATAGTGTTGGATCGATTGTAGTGGGTTGAGTATTTGGCTATCCATTTTGCTGGAAGATATTATATAGCTAGTCTGTTTCCTTTTTCTGATGTATTGGGTTGCTAGAGTATGTTTGTGCCTTTCTGAATAATGTTCTTACACAATTCTTCTTGTGGGAAGCTGGGTTGTTATTTGGGTAATGGAGCACTCAGTAGTGAGGATGTTTTAAGACAGACTTGTGTTTCTAATTTGCCATCATTTCCGAGAAAGATAGGCAGTTAAGAAATGTGAAACATACATACATACATATATACATACATACATACACATACACACACACACATACATACAGTACATAATTTCCTCTGCTAATAAGGATAACCAGAAAGAGTAGATTTTTGTTTTCTTCTTTTCTTTGGAATTTTATTCCTTTAAGGATAATAATAATAATAATAGTAATAGTAATAATAATAGTAATAGTAATAGTAATAGTAATAATAATAATAATAATAATAATAATAATAATAATAATAATAATAATAATAATAATAATAATAATAATAATAATAATAGAGTTGGAAGGGACCTTGGAGGTCTTCTAGTCCAACCCCCTGCTCAGGCAGGAAATCCTATACCATTTCAGACAACTTAAAAACTTCCAGTGTTGGAGCATTCACCGCTTCTGGAGGCAGGTTGTTCCATTGGTTAATTGTTCTGTCAGGAAGTTTCTCCTTAGTTCTATGTTGTTCTTGTCCTGCCTTCAGGTGCTTTGGAGAATAGCTTGATTCCCTCTTCTTTTTGGCAACCCCTGAGATATTGGAACACTGCTATCAGTGTTTATTTTCAGAAGGAAAAATCCATGAGAGAAGTTGATTCTTAGTTTGCATATGGAAAAGAAAACTGATGGATTAGTAGAATAACAGGACAAAAAAAGTATGCTGTTTAGAAAAAAAGCTGACCAGTGTCAAGCTATATACTGTATATTTATTTATTTATTTATTTATTTATTTATTTGATTTGTATCCCGCCCTTCTCCTTACCGGACTCAGGGCGGCTGACAGCCTTATAAAACCAATATTACAATAAATACCAATTTAGAACCAGATTAAAAGGAAATATTTGCAATGGCCTAATAATTAAAATTTCCCTTAAAAACCCCACTAAAATTCCCTAGGCCAATCCCGCTTGTTGGAAAAGCCATGTCTTTAGGGCGCGGCGGAAGGAGGGGAGATCCGGGATCACCTGGATCTCTGGGGGTAGTTCGTTCCAGAGGGTGGGGGCTCCCACCGAGAAGGCCCTCCCCCTGGGGGTCGCCAGCCGGCACTGTCTGGCTGACGGCACCCTGAGGAGACCCACTCTGTGGGAGCGTACCGGCCGATGGGAGGTAATCTGCGGCAGAAGGCGGTCTCGGAGATATCCAGGTCCGATGCCATGGAGAAAATCCAATGAAACTAGAGTTTTCCATATTAGTGTCAAAATGTGAAATATTTCTACAGATCATTTTAGAAATTAAAATTGTCGGTGTGAAAAAGGACTGAATAAGTATCTGTATTACAAAGCAAGAACTGAAATTATAAATATAACAGAATGCCCTTCTATCCTTACTTCTTTACTTTCTATCTTGCAAGATGACTAATTCTATCCGGACAGTCCACTTCAATTCTATTATGTGGGCCCAAACCTATTACTATCATCAGAGAACAAAAACAGGTGGGGGTAGTTGCTCCTTCCTCGTGATAGATCAGCAGCTATCAGTGAAACTTCAGCTGCTGTCTGAAATTTCACCCTCTGAAATGAAACAACTTGATCTCAGAAATTGGGGAATGCATTACATTTCTGTTAGTGAAAATGCTGTGCTTCTAGCCCAAAAGTATTCATTTAACAGGTACCTTAAATTTACCACTCACATCAGAGAGATCAAACTCAAATCCAGACAGCAAACGCTTAAGGCATGAGAACTCTCTAAAGAGGCACATTCAGCAGAACTGAACTGGCCAATGTCCTTAAAGTAATAGAATGTCTATGAATTTTGTTGATAAAATAGTTCCCTATCCATGGGCTAATCAACCAATTCTAATCCTATCAAAATCAGATTCTACTGTGCCTATCTTAATCCTTACCATGATTTTGCCTTATTTACTAGAACTTGAACATCCTTTGGAAGAGGTTCTTAGCAATATGAGGATTCATATTAAGCATCTCTTTTAAGCATTTCAACAGACATCTTAATATTTATTTGCCCACCACTAGTGTTAAAATCTCATATCCAAAAAGTGTTTGTCTGCCATGAATATCATTGATTGGTGTGATGTTATTGTGATTACAGCAGATTACACAAAAAAAGTTATTTGTCATAACATATATTCATAGAGGTAACTGTCAACATTAATCGATAACCCTAACCATAACTCATTTGGTGGAGAAAAATGTAAAACAGCTGAAATAAGCAGATGCAATTGATTGCTGCCCAAAATTTACTGGTGGGCAAATAAAAATGTTGGACAAAAAAAATGGAACAAGAGTCAACATTTTATCCAGCCTTAGGCAACTGCTTTGGAAAGTATTTCTGACTGTTTGTTAGTGGATCAGCATTAACAGAATAGCAGAGTTGGAAGGGACCTTGGAGATCTTCTAGTCCAACCCACTGCTCAAGCAGGAAATCATATACCATTTCAGACAAATGGTTGTCCAATCTCTTCTTTAAAAACTCTAGTGTTGGAGCATTCACAACTTCTGGAGGCAAGTCGTTCCACTGATTAATTGTTCTAAGAAATTGTCAGGACATTTCTTCTTAGTTCTTGATTGGTTCTCTCCTTGATTAGTCTCCATCCTTTGTTTCTTGTCCTGCCTTCTGTTGCTTTGAAAAATACTTGACGCCCTCTTCTTTGTGGCAGTCCCTTAGATATTGGAACACGGCTATTAGGTCATCCCGGGTCCTTTTTTCATTAAACTAGACATACACAATTCCAGCAACTGTTCTTTATGTTTTAGCCTCCAGTCCCCTAATTATTTTTGTTGCTCTTCTCTGTACTCTTTCTAGAGTCTCAACATCTTTTTTACACTGTGACAACCAAAACTGGATGCAGTATTCCAAGCATGGTCTTACCAAGGCATTATAAAGTGGTACTTTATGTGATCTTGATTCCATCCCTCTGTTAATAGTTACTGTAATAACTGTAATAACTCATATTTACTGTAAGTGATTGTCCACTAGATACCTTTCACAGTTACTACTGTGAAATGGATCTAGTGGACAATCACTTAAACATGATAAATTTGATTATTATTGTGAGATCCCTCACACAGTTACTACTATTGAGGCAGTATTATTTTGTTGCTAAGGAAATTAAATAAACTGGCTATGCATGAATGTGCATATGTAGCAGCTTACTAAGCATTGATGTACACCTGGAAAAATATAGTTATTGTAATTATTTAAAGAGTAGTACATTTGTACTCTGATTATTGCAAAGCACCTCTTTCAATATTACTTATCTCTATGCCAGCATACAGGTAATTAAAAACTGCAGTAAAAATAGTCATAAAATTGGGTTAGGTCACATGATTTGTTTAACGGTCACATCGCTTAGCAACTGAAATTCCAATCCCAACTGTGATCTTAAGTTAGGATCACAGTTGGGATTGGAATTTCAGTTGCTAAGCAGTGTGACCGTTAAACAAATCATCATTTGACCTAACCCAATTTTATGACCATTTTTACTGCAGTTTTTAACTGAATGTCGTGGTTGCCAAGCAAATTCAGACTTCCCCAACTGAACGTTTGTTGGAAATTGTGATGACATGTAGTCTGGATTTCCAGGAGGAAGGAGTGCATTCCAGAAGAGCAAGAGACAACTTAGTTCAGACGGTTATGTGAAACAAAGAAGGTAAAGCCAGCTCCTCCCTAATAGTTCCCAGAGTATATGCTTTATGTGACTGGTAATCTGCTTTAGTTTGGTAAGTTTCTGTCTTTAGACGAGGAACAATAAAGAAATCTGTTCGGAAGAATCACAATATGGTTTTTGCAGCCTGACAGAAAATGGCTGGGAATATTGCAAATCACAATTATGCGACCACAGGATACTACAACTGGTCTTAAATGCAAGTTAGTTGCCAAGTGGCCAAATTACGATCTTGTGTCTCCTGGGATGATGCAATGGTCATAACTTTAAGGTGAGGTCATAAATCACTTTTTCCAAGGCAATCATAACTTTGAATCATCATTATATGAACGATTGTTAAGTTGAGGACTATCGGTACATATAAGTACCACTGTGGCAAACATTTCTCCTGATAGCTTTGAATTTAGTGAAGAGAATGTTTCTTTAACATTTACTTAATGTACTGGCATTGTTTATTTCTTTAGAATTATACATATTACACACATTAGGTATCATTATTACAAATAAAAGAAATGCTAACTATGTAGGCAAAAAATATACTAATACCTTTGCAAAACATTTTAATCTAAGTGTTTTTCCTTCATGCACACACAAATCAAATTCTCCAGTTGCTGAAGAGGAGAAACCTGGATGCCAAACAACTTCACATTCTAGATCTTTGCTTGCTTCTACTATACCTAAATATAAAAGGAGAGAAAACATTACAGCTGTTAAAAATATAACTATTATGAAAGATGAATAATAATTTGAAAACTAATTTTAATGCATTGCAATATTCAGTCATTTCACAGAATTACTTGATAAAGTTGTCCATATTAATTACAGCTGTATTTTTAATTAATCTGAAATATCCCAAAATTAATTTACTGAATTTCAAATAATTATCTAGTGTAGGTTTGTTTGCAGCCAGTATGTGCTATTTCCTATTTCCATGCCATCCCTAAAAAACCCTGTCATATGGAAGATCTAATTTTAATTCAGGTGAATACTGAAAAACAATGATTTCCCTTTCCCACTCAAATTTCAGCATAAACAGGGAGAATATATTTATAAAAACATGATTGCTAATCATTGACATAATACACAATTAGACAACTAAACATTACAAGACAACAACACAAAATCATGTATCCAGATTAGGGTGGTTCTTTTATATCATTTTATAAGCCATTCTTCATTTGTCTTCATTTACAATTCTCCATATTTTTTACCAGTCCAACACATGGAAACATTATTAAGAAATATTGATATTACACATAAAGAAGTTTAATCTATTGATAAACTGTTTCAATAAGTGAATAACTTCAATAACCCTTAGTTTTTATATAAACTGTGCAACAGAACTGCTATTAGCTAGTAACAGCATCAATAATATAAGTGTTGGAAAACCAGGGATCGATTCTTCTCCAAAAGGGTTTTAATATGAATTTGGACCCCAAATACTATCTCTCATCATAATTTAAGAGATTAGGTTGCAATAAACATGGACCATGCATAGCAGCTAGGTTGGCTAAGAAAGTGATGAAACATAACCAACCTTGGATAACTATAAATATTTTGAACAACAAAATTATTACCAGTGTGTTTTCAAGAAAAGCTAGCTATGTGTGATTTGTCCCCTCAGGTTTAAGTTAATATTCTTTCATTACATATTTGATTGAAAATTGCTCTTTGATTGGAAAAAAAAAAGCACATTATGCATCACCCTTTTCCGGACAGATGGAAAATCCCATTCCGTTATCCATGATGACAGGCTTCCACGTAAATTGTGCAGGGTAGTTTTTTCGATTATATAGAGTGACTGTTGTTCTAAATCCAGTTTTTGCTAGAAAGCTAAAAGCAGGATTTAAAGTCAATTCCCTCGTAGATAGCTCCAAGGCAACTGGCACAATTTTTGCTATCACTAAAATATGTCCAACATGGTGTTGGTTTATTGAATACATGAAAGACCTGTAACACAAAAAAAAAATCTTCATCAGATGCTTCATTTAAGGTATCATATATGCAATAATATAGAAGCTCCTAGCTGTAGCTGACTGAGCTAAGGGAAAAAGTGCTAATCAGGATAAGACCACTAGAAAATCCCAGGGCTGCAGGCTGGACTGTAAAAGAAAAAAACCTTTGAAAGAAGATAAATCAATTTCCTATGTTGCCAAAGAAACCCAATAGAAGATCCACATAGTCACAGGGCAAAGTTCTTTTCTTACTCAGCAGTCTCTTTGCTTCATCACCTTTCTAGCCAAGTCAGATCCAATTTTCTTTTCTTTTCCTTTCCCATTGCAGTTACCTCCCTCTCTTACCCCACTTCTCCATTGTCTTGTTATTATTTTTGCTAGAAGTAGAAAGGAAAATCGATCGGTATTTCTGGGTATATGTGTGTGCTTTGCCTGAGAGAAAGAATGGTTAGTTTATGTAGATGGAAATTAATTTTGAAAGTGGAATATCTTATTTTAAAGGCAATTATTTTAAATTAGTAATTAAAATAGTCTATTAAATTAATATACATTCATTTGTCTTGACTCTGCATTTCTTTGGAATGTGGCTTTTGGCAGGTATACATGCACACCTACATACTGCACCCATATATAGTACGTTTTTGGATTGGAGAAGCTTCAACACTAATTTCACCTGGAATTAGCAATTCTATTTTGACAAGGTGGGAGATTGCTCATTTTGACAAGGTGCGAGTGCAAATAATTCATTCTCTTTCTCCTCCACACACACACACACACAAAGGAGGCCTGAGTTCAAATTTAAATTTGTCCTTTTTGATAAAGATGATATTTGCAGCATCTTGAAAATTTCTGACAATTTTTGACATTTATAAAAAAAAATCTTACATTGATCCCTTTAAAAACCAATTGAGTATTTTTTCAATAAATATAAATTATTATAAGATACCTTGTTTAATGTCATAAAAAGGAAGTCAAATTCTAGCATGAAGTCTGAATATAGCACATGTTTAAAAATGTTAACTTTAGAATTTGATTTTGCTTTATAATTGCATTTTTTTTCAATTGTGCTTACAGTTTTAGAGTTGGAACAGATAATAATTTTTCCTCAATTTATGTATGCTTATTGTGATATTGTGGTCCCTTATTGTTGCTGGTGCAATTACACATAGCCAAACACTTGCTAAGAAAACATAATTATCATGCCATCTTCCTTAAGGCCATTATAGGTGCACCAAGGCCATTATAGGTGTGTTCAATACAACATTAAGGCTAGAAACAGAAATATTTAGTGTTAAATCTCAAGCCTGGTTAAGAATAGTTAACCCACGTTAGCGTCTTATTAATCTGTTATTACTAGATAAGTACAAAGACACTTGGCAATTAACCTGGGGGAAAAAGTTAGACATATGGATTCTCATTTGAATTTCTACATCACATAAGCTGTGAAGATGCTGTTAATATAGTCAAATTAAGGATAGCCGAAATAGAATCCTACAAAGATTAGTCAAAAGTCTCAGAAAGTCTCTCCTGGACCTCCTGCTAAATACCTATATAATTTAACCTTTTATAAACACAAATGTTAGTGTACACATTAATTTATATCCTTCTGCAGCAACAGAGGACAAATATCACAAGACTCCTTATTTTGAAAGAGTCTGATCTTACGGATAAAGAGAAATAGAATCTATAGCAAACACCCTTCTAAACTTTTCTATTTATGAGCAAGTCTGGAGATGGAAAATGATTCCACTCCATAAGAAATTGGGTGGGAAAGCTACAAAATTCAGCCATTTTCTACTGAAGGATGGCTTACCTAACATTCCAACTTAATGGCAAAATTCTGCTCAGAAACTATCCAAAAGCATAAAATATTTATAGACAATAGGCAGCAGTAGGTTTCTATAGTTAGAGAGAGATAGCTTTAGATTTGCTTTAGCTTTTATAGATTTTAGACTAACTTTGTATGTTACATGCTACCTATATTTTATTTAGCTACCAGTTCTTTAGCTGGTGGGTTTTCAGGTTTTCAAGCACACTGGGCTCCTCTCAAGAACCTTGGATATTGTAATGTATCATATAGTATATGTGCGGATCCCAGCAGTGTATCCTTTTGTAACTGACAGATGGAAATATTTTTATTACCATGCCATCAAGCAGCACCAATGGTAAAACTGTGCCATTGATTATATTTAACTTAGGAATATTGAAATTGACTTAGACTTGCTAAGCTCTTACACTGTCTCTAAACATAATTCTTACAACTTAATTTGGTTAGGACAACATATATGAAATCTCCTTACAAAAGAATACTTAATTTTTAATTATCTTTTTACAACTCCTTTCCAACAAGAATCCTATCTGCCCTTCATCTCAGAGTGTTATTACTGAAGAATTATTTCTCGACTACCAAATTACTATATAGAGAAATTAGTTTTACTTTTTAAAGTTGCCTAATGTGTCCCTCTCAAACACCACAGGAATACAAGTTTTCATAAAAGGTGTTATGACATGCGACAAAGAATTAGTCTGTTGCAGTTCTTCACTTTTCATTTCTATTTGTATCCATATATGCACAGGTAGGTTGTTTATGATATGCATTTTTCTGATAGTTGTAGAATGCACACAGACTTCTCCAAAGTCAATAGTGGAAGGACCTGGAAGGAATAGAAAAGGCATAATAGTTTTATAGATAAGGGGAATATACTCATAAAGCATAGCACACACCTATATATGTACAATATTCCATATACAATTCATTTTTCAGACTACATATTTGTGTAAGAACTCCCCTTCAAGCTGTGCAAGGATCACATCCAAGGCAAAATATGTATTTAGGTTACTCAGTGAAACCCCTAATTATACAGTACCATCTGCCAGTTAACTACTAAGACATTTTCAAAGAGTTTTTATGTAGTTTTATATCTAGTTCATTTCTACAACAGGATGCACTACTGACTACCACATTGTTTATATTCACTCAGTTGTGGTAGAGGGGTGTTCCCTGTAATGAGGCCCAGCTAATTATATAAATTTCCCACAGATTTTAAACATGTCCTTACTGTGAAGTGTTTGTATGAAAGTTAAAAATATTTAATTTAATTAAAATATTTATTTAGCTTAGTTAAAGTATTGTTTTTTTATTAACTTTTCAGCTATTGTCTGTTTACTATTTGTGGTGGTCTATTATTTTGTAGTGTTTCAGAGGATTTATATATTCCTATATTTTATTGAATTTATTATAACTATTTTGAAAATTACATTTTTAAAAACTGAAAACATGACAATACAATTGCAATTGTGGTTTTCCTTTCTCATTCTGCAGATAAGGGATTAATGACAATAGATTTGCTCAAACAAAAGTTCAGCTTGTACAAGTTAAGAGGAAAATGTAATTCTTTTTTGGAAAACATACCCAAATACTATTGTACATATGATCAAGAAAAGTTTCCACAAATCAACTGCTCAAAGTAAGTTGGTTTGAGAGAAAAAGAGAGCAATAATCTCAGGAGCATTTAATTTCTAAGGTTCCATATTCTTCAAGCTAATTCATCTATATGCTCTTCTAGAATTATTCTATCTCTCTCCAATTTTCCATTCATCTATACAATAACTGATAATTTAAGATAGGAAAATATGTTTTAGCAAATCACTATCTTACCAATGACTATTTTGTGAAGCTGTTTTGGTGTCAAAATTAGACTGCAATCTTCAACTTCTTGCTGAGACAATGGTTCGGGATTAAGACAACCATTCACCTATAAAAAAAAAAGCCAACACCACCCCACACACTATTAAAAGAGCTTAATTTGTTTAGATACAAAAGTATTGCACCTATTTTCTTGTCTGATAATATATGAACGTCCTAAAGACTGAATTTAAAAAAATTGTGCTTTGGTGACTCCTAAATTAAAATGCTTCAGAAAATCTGGCAGGCTGACAGAGTTCCTGCCTTCACTGTTCTTTTCCCATTTCCAAGATCTGTTGAAGACTCACTACCTCCCTTGAAGAAATGTCATCCCCACTGAAGAGGTACCCAGGACTGCAAGCTCCACCATCTCCTAAGAGCCAATTTTCCACTGGAGAAACAACTCTTCAAGGTTTCATGGATTACCTCCTTTGCAAAAAGCAACAACAACAACAGAGCCAAACAGCTACTTTTTCTAGCAATTCTGAGAAATCACTGGGTCGTTGATGGGTAAAAGCTGTGAAGCAAGTGATCGGTATTCAGGATGACCAGGCTCATTGCTTTCTCACAGATAAACAGCAGGCCCTGCTCAAATAGTGTGCTCTTGCTCAGGAATATATTAGTTTTGTAAGCATTCCTATTTAGTTTCTCATGCCAACAATCTCCTCCTGTTCACCTTTATTTTTGCATTCCTACAATGAATCCACATTCTTCACCTTCTTAAATTCAATCCATAAGTTGTTATCCTGTTTTTAATTAGAGAAGGGACTATCTGTTCCCATGTAATACTCATTCACTTAAATATCTCTCCTTCACACATACACCTCAATTTATTAATATTAAAATTAATAAAAACAATACTGGGTCAAGATAAATGTGTCACGTAGAAAAAACTATGCAATTACTACGAATCAATGTATAAACATACATCCTTTAGTCTAACTATTGGACAGCAACTTCTTCAACTGCATTCACCTGGCATTCTCCTGCTATCCCCAGCCCATGAGAAAGACAGATATGGTGCCCTCCTGGCAAATAAAAAAGTAAATGTGGTGAAAACAATTGAAATAATTGCTACATTATAATTTCCTGAACCTATGGAGTTTAGGCATATGACTAGAGGTTTGAGCCCCCTTTCTCCCTTTAAGAGATAAAATAACTCACAAGGTTTCTAAAAAAATCAAAGCTTATTTAAAAGAGGGGAGGTTAAAAAAATAGTTTAATTTTAAATATCCACATGCCAAACTGCAGGAAATGAATTATAGAGATGCCCTAATTTAGTAATATATAATAGTTGGCCACAAGATGGCACCGGTTCACTACAAATGGCACAATCTCCTTTGTGAAATATGCAATGCTACAGTATAACATAGACTACAAAAATATTCCAAATAAATCTAATATATTCCTGCCAATCTCAAGTATGGCAAAACAAACTTGACATTTCAAGTTTATTTTATAATTTTTATAACACCCCCTCTCCAATTCAAAAGTCTCTACGTAAATTATAGCAAAATAGAGTATTATAAACATAACAGTACTGTTTCTAACTAAAAATTTTCCCCAGTGCTATAAGCTCTGCTAACTGAAAATGCCATTTCCCTGGTAATTCATTTTAATCAGACATTGGAGGAGATCAATAGTAGCTTGCTCCTTCGGTCAATCATATCACACAGCTTCCCCAGGTTTCTGCTTCTAGTTCTTAAAAAACAATGAAGAGTTTACCTATCCAGGAGAGGGAGGATTGATGTATCAGATTATGCCAAACTCTCCCTCCTAAATGTTGACTAAAGCTCAGACTCTCATTGGCTGTCATTGAATATAGAGAAGAACCTTGCAAGCTGCATATTTACTAGAAGGTACTAGATTTTGGAGAAAGGGATTTCAAGTCCATGCAATAGACTGCAAATAATTTATTCTTTTCTAGGAATAAATCCTATTAGTTTTAATGGGACTTCAGAGGAAATACACAGAACATGAAAAGTACATTTAAACGGTTAATAGAGCAGGGATAAACAGTGTAAATCAAGTATATTATGAGACACTAAAAGATAGACTATATTCATCAATAGTAAACATACCTCTTTTTGTATAGATCTAGATTCGATTTCTCCTAGCTGTTTACTAGTTAACAGGCTATTTCTGTTTACACAAGCAGCTTCTTTCTCCATGTTATCATGCTTTAAAATTCTGAGCATAGGAGATTTTAGCCCTGATGCTGGCTTTAATCCTATGTCCACAGGATTATTAAGCATTTTGAAGATCCTATTGTGTCAGAATAAAGAAAAATGTCATATTCAACAATCTAGCCCATATATTACAGTTTTGCAAAACTTTGACTTAACTTGTTTGCTGGATTTTATTAACTGAATGCATTTTCTTACAAAAAAATGTCTTGCCAAACTGTTATTGAAACTTCTGACTGATATTCAGTTTCCTCGGCTACCTTTGAACTTTTTCTTCAAAAACAATTATTGCTTATTTTCCAAAGGCAACTTTCTATAAAGTGATTATGAAAGTAAAATTCTCTTAACAATATCATTGCTACCCTATGTCCTTTCAGTTAGATCTCCAAATTAGGCCACTCCAAATCAGTGGCATTTTCTTCATCTTTGGCTCATCAGTCTCAGAACTGCCAGGTACACCTGTTTGAAATCTTTATCAAGATCACTGGACCAATATTTTCTTGCCTCATTTATAATAACAAATAATCATGTGAGTCCTCCAGAAGTCTAAACCCTATGTAATAGCAAACATTTCAAAAGTAATGAGAGCCAGTTATTTCAGTTCACAACAATCAATTCTGATACAGCAGGAATCTGAGGATTTTTAAACTACTGACTTGGTGGATATTTAAATAGACATTCCCTTGCTTATTTAATTTGTATTTTAAAATTCTATGTATTAACAGCACAACGTGTTTAAAATTCTAATATAGCTTAATGGAAGTGACACCACAAATGTGAGATCAATTTGTAAGTAGTTAGGATCAGAGGATCAGAACTGATACCTGGATAAAGCAAGTAAAGCTGGAATGTACATAGATTTCTATATTCTAATATTTATTCAGCTACACAGAATTATTTCAGCATTTAAGAAACATTTTACAAAAATTGATCAGAAAACAGGACTTCAAAATCTTTTTGAAATAATTTTGAATAATACCCCAAAATGTGGAGTATTTGGGATCAGCCATCTGCAGCTTCTTTGAAGCAGTCTTATCTTTTCCCATTGCAGCTGCTGAATCAGCCTTTGTCAACCTTTTAAGCCTGGAGGAACCTATGAAATATTTTTCATGCAATAGGGAATTCCTGCATATACAGGCTCAAATATAAGTTATAAAATTATTATATTCATTTCATGAAGCTTGTTCCCCAAATCTAATTTACCCTTCCTTGTCCCAAAGACCCCATTACAAAACTAGAAGGGGGATGATACCCTTCCAATACCGTCCCCTTAATACTCAACTGCTTTGAAACTCACCAAATTTGGAGCTCAATGTATTTTGACACGAAAATTTTGTCCCAGTACTAATTGTTTGTTCAATACTCAACGAACAAACTAGAACTTGTCGGTGTCAGCTGCCTTGTGACTCACTACATTATTCCTTATGAGAAGAATCTGTTTGGTACTGGTTTTTGGTACTCACTACACCTCCCAGAGCCAATTAATGATGAGTATCAAGGTACCACTGTATTTGGACTCTTCAACCTCTCCTGAAATCTAATGCCAAAGCCTCCACCACCATTTTCTCTTCCTCTTCCCTTCCCCTCCCCCCCCTTCGTGGTGGCACTTGCTATCATTGGTGCCCAGGCCAGTCTAGTCTGGGATCTCCTGCGCTGAGACAGAGCTCTCCCAGCCACTGCACTTGCAAAAAGACTGCACCCGCTACTTGTCTTTTGTCCTCAGCAATCCTCCCCCCCTCCCATCTAGCAGGCCAACCCAATGTTGGAGTTTATAGAATTTGTGTTTGGTCTCTGCTTTTTAAAAATAAATCAAGATCTCCTGGGGAACATCTGATGGTTTTTATGAAACCTTAGGGTTTCGCAGAAGCCCAGTTGAGAAACCTTGTACTAAATTATTTCAGGAAAAGACACCACTACTTTTAAAGTCTGCAGGCTGTTTCTGCCTCCGTATTCTTTGAAGTATTGTTTTCCAAAGGCTTAGTAGAATAAGTAGATATTTAAAGACATTAGAATAAGTAAAGATATATAATCAGTATTATAGATTTGGGTATTTCATCTAGAAGCAACTTACTGAGCTTCTTTTTTATTTAAACGGACTTTTCTTAAATTGTGAATGTAGTCTGCATAGTAGTCTTTATTCATTTGCTTTTCCAGTTCTTCATATACTGTGTAAGAGAACTCTGGATCTATATAACAATATCTGGGAACTTTTGTGAAAATAGTCCTAAATCAGAACAATGACATACAACTTCATCAGTACATGAAATATTTAAATATGCATTGAAGAATCAAAATATTACTGCTTTTACTATATATTTTTATATCCCATTATTCCACTAATCATTTCATCTGGCGAGCACAAAAGAAAGGACAAAATAATTGGAATTTGTTTTAAGAAAATATTAACAACACACATACTTCTGGACAAATAAAAATCACTTACAGAAGAAAATAATTTCCAGTATAAACGTAATATTCACTATGGCAAAACAATCATATAAAATAGTAAACATAATCTGTCTTAAGATCATCATTATTTATATTACCTGTAATCCTTATGAAACTCAGCGGGTCTTATGCTGGCTGGACGATCATTGGGAAGAGCTACTAGTACATTGCTTAAGTTCCTATTAATCCGGTGAGCATGTAATTGTGTCTTATCTGATTTAAGTAGTGCTATTGGTGCAACATCACTCAGTTGATCCCCCTTGTTAGCTATAAATATCCCCGTAGCATTGGAAATCAATGGTGTTAAACCTTGGGTCAGGATTTAAATAAAAAGTGTATTATATAGGACAAGAAAACCAAAAAATAAATTAATGTACTTTATTCCCACAAATTCTACAATATTAAATTCACAGTAACATTTTATTCAATTAAGGATCATATCCACACCTAACCTCTTATAATGTAACAATTTTCAGACTGAGCCTTTTAAAATCTAAAATGAGTTTCAGCAAAACTGATTGCAGAAAACAAACACAAAGAAAATAAATAAATAAACTGCATCATTCAAAGAGCTAAACTAAGATATTACTCACAACTTAAATTTCAAAATATACTAGTTAGTATCACATATTTGATTTCTATTTTATGGTAATATTTTTCAGAATTTATGCATAAGTTAATTCCATTTCTTATTCCTAAAACCAGGCAAATATAAAACCCCAAAAAGAGATTTAATTAAATCATTCTGTGCGTGTGTTATATGTTATATTTCTATAATGATCAAATGATAACTCAAAAATAAATTGAAGAAGGCTTCAATCTTTTCACAGATAAGGTGAGAGCAGATACTAATAAATAAATCAAAATAAATAATAAAAATTAACTGAAGTCATTCAATAATTACAAAAATATCCCAAAGAGCTAGTATTTTTTTAGTTGAGTGCACTAAAGGTTGTGAAGATCCTGATGCAAAATGTACTTTTCCGTATAAAATATTAAGCTTCAGGACTAAATTATAGCTCACTTCCAAACAAATATCAGAAAGTATATAAAAAAGGTATTCTTGTACTAAAAAAGAACTATGGAAATAAGGAACATCATTTTGAAATATAGGAAACCAACTGCGGTTTCTGCTTGTCACCAATTAGAATCCAAAGCATCCGCACGCATTCTACACATTATAAGTACCTGAATAATCTGAGTTACTCATTTATTAGCTTACATTATCAGCTATTCAGCTTGACATTTAAGTAAAATATTTTTTTAATGCAAAATCAGCATTCATGCCTTGAACAATCCAGGGGAGACTTTCAGGAAACTGTGTACATGGAGTAGAGCTCCTCTGAACTGCTGTTAGGAATCTGAAATTCCAAAATGCTCTAGCAATCCTAGTTTTCCATTCCAAAAGAGTACAGGTAGTTCTCAACTTACGACCTATCACTTAGCAATCATTCAAAGTTACACTGGACCCTTCCAAAAAATACTTAGGATCTGATTTTGTGACTCCAACGTCCCTTCCCCGCGATCACACAAACACATTTCGGGTGCTTGGCAACCGGGCTATATTTACAGCCATTTGCAGCATCTCATAGTCACATGACCACAATTGATATTTTTTGTTGGAAAGCAATATTTATTGCCGTTTTTCAGCAAAAAAAAAATCCATTGGCTAAAACAGGTTCACTTAACAATCACTGTTTTGGCTTAATGACTCCCACAAAAACGATTGTAAAATTGGTAGTTTTGGGGTCAATTACAGATGTCAAGTTAAAAACTATCTGTAGCTTACAGACTTGTCATATTGTTTAATATTACATTAATATTTTTGCCCCAGTGTTGATTTGAATGATCTGATATGACACTAACTTAGGACAATCACAATCATCTTTTACTGGAAAACATAACTTTAGAGAGCTCCAAAACCAGGAGAAGAATATTTAACAGTGTCCATATAAGTTAGCACCTTTGATTTCTATGAACAAAATTGTAGCTTGAGAACACCTCCCTCTCAAATTAACTTCCAACCAATTTATGCTAACTCATAATAGTTTGCTATATATATCTTCAAGGCAGCAAGGCTTTTCCTGGGGCCAGAAAGGGTAGAAGCAAACAGTTTCCTGGAAGATTGGAAAGGCATGTGGCCTTTCCATTTCCCATATATCTTTTTTCTAAATAACTAGGGGTTTTAACATTTATCACTTTTAGGTAAATAACACATCTTTTTTAAATTTAATCTGAAGAAAATTGAACTAGCTGTTCTCCTAGATTTCAAATGGAAAGAAAACATCATGGCATATTTTTCAAATCCAATCCCCCCCACACAAAAAGCAGATTATAATTGCACTTAGATTACAGACGTGTGCGCAGTGGTTAGAATGCAGTATTGCAAGCTAATTCACTGCTCACTGCCAGGAGTTCGATCCTGACTAGCTCAAGGTTGACTCAGCCTTCCATTCTTCTGAGGTCGTTAAAATGAGGACCAAGATTGTTGGGGGCAATATGCTGACTCTGTAAACCGCTTAAAGAGGACTGTAAAGCACTATGAACCGGTATATAAGTCTAAGTGCTAAGCTTATTATAACTTGTAAAAGAGAAAGTAAAAGGCTAAAACTAAAATCAACAATTCCCGCCCACATAGGAAATTAAATCCACGTGTTTAAAAATGTAATTGAGACATTAAAATTTTCTATTTAGTTTTTTTAAAAAAAATTACAGGAAAAACAGCTAGCTTGTCCAGTCTTTCCCATCTTTCCACAATCTATTTAGAATCCTCGAGATATATGGTATCCTACTTATCTTAAAAGGAATATTAGTCACAGAGGAATGAAATCAATGCTTACAAATAAGCTTAACTGAAAACTAAAATTCATTTCAAAAAAGATTTATGTTAAGCAGCATGGACCGCCAGATAATTTTCAAAATTAATAATGCATTTAAATCAGTTACTTCTTCATAAAGACAGCATGTCTGAATTCTATCATTTCAGGTGATAAATAGATCACGTATCTATCTTGGGAAAATGTCTAAATTGTTTCTCAGAAATAAACGTATTTCTAACTCAGTAAAAACTTAGCACTTTTTAATTAATAACATACCAGGGTTGCTTTTCAGCACAACATTAGTGGATACCGACTTGCAGAGGCCAGAAAAAACTAAATGTATTTGATGAAATGGTTTCATCTCTAAAACCCGAAAGTCATCTTTCTTTGGTACTGGTCCTATAATATCTACTTTCTGCCTCACTGTGAAGGTTCCTATATGTCGTGGGATAAATGAAAATATCACATCCTGAAAATAAAAGGACAAAAGTATTAAGCATAGAAAAAGGAAACCAAAAGCTAATGCAAGTTATAAAAAGTTCAATGTGTTACATTATGCTTACTCTTATTTACTTAAAACTTTAATTTGATTTGTTTCTTATATTTAAATAATAAAATAGTAAAAATTTTCTAATTGAAATAATGCAACAGAATTGAATGATAATTATGTTCTCGTTCACATATAAAATAGACATAACATTTAAATATACAAATGGATAATGAAAGAGAGAAATTGAGGGTGCCAAACAATGATAAAATAAAATGAGAGAAGTAAATTAGAAATTAGGTACGTGTTGCTTATATAATAAAATATTCTAAAAAACTGAATCTCACCAGGAAACAAAAGAAGAAGAGAGCATTCCACTAAGCAGCTGAAGAAAAAGTTTGAGGATGTGAATGAACACCAGCAAAATACAGCTGAGCAGGATAGAAAGAAAAGAGGAAATAAGGAAAATACAAGACAAGGAAACATAATTTAGAATTGAGTATAAACTTGTAATTGATGAAGTGCCTAAGAGATAAATATAAAGAAAATAATAGTGACTACTACATAGGAGAAAATGAGTTACAGTTCAAATATTGTGAACAGTAATGAGAGAAGCAGCATATGGAAGCAATAAAATGGCTAATGTAGTTTAACCAAAAACTGAAGAAGAGAAAAAAGATTTAATGCTAAGAATGGAAAGTGGTGATATGTGAGATTGTTACATTCTCTTCTTTGCCATGTTTGAAGAAAAAGAACAGAAAAGTAGTAATTCTTTCATCTCCAAACATCATCTATAGCTTTCTGCTACCTTCTCTGCCCTAAATATTATGTAATGCAACACACTCTAACATGAAATATCTTAAAAATTAAATATATAGTATATAAAGAATGAAAGAAAATATGCTAATACCTTTGCAGACTTTCCTTTTATTTTTCCCTTTTCAGGGCAAATATTATAATGTGCAATCTTATGAAAAACAAATGTCACTGGAAGACCATCACTTTCATTTTGGAGTGTGCAAACAAGATCTGTGTGTTCACCAATGTAACACTCTTTGAAACTGACAACTGGTCCTGGGGTGAATGTCAACATGACTGGAAGTCCTGAGCCTATCAATCCTAATTCAACACAGTGGGGATTCCCTGAAAAAGACATTGAGATGGAGACTAAAAGTATACCAGTAAGTGTTCATAGGATATACTGCTATAAAGGAGCAAATGATGCATTACAAATACAAATATTGTTCTCTAATGCACCCAAAAACTTATAGATAATAACAACAAAAATCTGTTCTACAAAGAACTGTTCACATGAATAATAAAGCATTCTTGAAAACAAATGGTTGCACTCAAATGGTAAAGCTGTGCAGTTGCTGCCTTAAGTGAAAACTCCTAAAGGAAAGCCCAGGTATTATTAAATACATCAAATGTAGGTGATTTTTTAAACCTCCTGAATTAACAGAAATCATTAAATGAAGGAGAGGGGCAAGTTGGGAGTGGATGGACTAGCAGTACCTTAATCTACCCTGTCAGATTAACCTTGACTATAGATAACAAGGAAATTGATGATGTCATTTGTTTATATTAATGTCTAGCATCCTCTGCATAGCATGAAATGGGATCTTTCTGTAATTATTTAAGAATTCATCAAAACAAAGAAGATAGCCATAATCATGTATTGTTTGTATCTTTGGGCATAAACTATGCGATAGTTCAAGTAGCCTGTTCATAAGCTGATTTTATCTGCTCCTAGGAACAAAAACACAAATGAGGATGATTAATTTAGTGTGATGTCTGAAGGTGGAGTTACACTTTGCCATATTAAAACAATCCAGGATTCTTCAAAAAAAATCTAGCTTAAAATGACTTAACAAATCTATCTTATTTGGGTAAAATGATCAATATTCCTAAACTCAGTTGTAATATTAAATTACCTATATTAACACGTTCACTCATTAAAACAAGTAATGAGGTTACATAAACCAATACATAGCTCATGAATGCTTTGATTTAATGAGTTAGAGTTCTTGGTTAAAATGGACATGAAATAATGGCCAGTACAATATCCCTGACTCTTGCCATGAAGACTACATAAAGATTTATATTCTGGAACTAAGCAGTATCAAATAACTGTGATTTCCAAATATAGTTCAAACATTCAAGATTCTCAGTATCCTATAATAATCTATGTACGAACTATAGTTTCAAACAATCTTAAACAACTCTACATACAGTATACTCTATTGCTATAATTTTCAAAATTTATTCTAGTGGAAATGTTCATCTGTAAGGACCCACCCCACTTTGCATCTTAAGAAGACAGAACTCCTGGAATATTTCTTCCAATAGGCATCTTTATTAAGAGAAAGCTGGATGTAGGCGTTCTAGACAGGACTTGGGTTCGAGCTCTCCACTTCAAGGTTTTAAGGGATCCCCCATTAGTCACACCCCCATAACCCCCTTTTCCCAGCGACAATTCTAG